CCGCCCCACCATAAAAGCAAGGTCTTAGAGACTTCTGTGGACAGAACTGAATACTTGCTATAGCGTTTTTTATTTTGACAGAGCTTTTTAAAAACATTTATGTATAATACCTCAGCTTGGTTATATTTGCTACTTTGTAACACCACGTGGAGAATAATAGATTTTTTTTTGCAGATATAATTAAGCAAACGTTTGCCCAGTTTTTACAAATCATGCTTTCTTTGTTAAAAATGAGGCTTTAACAATGTCTTCTACTTGAGACAAATGAGTATAATTTGCAAATTAATTGGTATAAATTATGTAGAATTCATCTTTAGGATAAAGAGGTTGCATGTATTAAATACATTGGAATATATCAAAACTGGAGCAGATTTGCACTGCAACCAATCAACTTCTTTGTCTCATTTCCAGATCTTCCCTGAACAAACTGAAGAGAGATGCTGATTGGTTGCCATGGGCAACTGCTCCAGATTCTGTCCGCTCTCGTTTTGATAAATGTCCCCCATTGTTATTTAAATTGACCACTATGTTATAATTTTCCTATGTGTGCTGTATTTTCTCCAGTTGCCCTTTTAATAAATAATCAAGCACAATGGCTCGTCTACAGAAAAAAACAGTGATGGCTTTTTGCCTCTTGGGAGGTGACTTTGATGCCTCTGAACATGTTTACAAAAGTGAATTTGTGATTATCTTAGGGAATCAGGAAACAAGTCTTTTTTCAGGCTTAAGTAGGATGTACCTTTTGCATCTGTTCCTAAAAGGTTACAAAAAGGGGTCAGACTAGATCCCATTTTCTGAGCTTAGAAAAGTAGTCAGGACTTGCAGAACACCTCCAATATGCGGACTTTTATATACAAGGGTCAAAGGTCTTTTTCTCGGTATTCAAGATGCATGTGCTGTCCATCATTACTATTATTACTACAATCCCTTTATTGCAATTCTGTCAGTATGTCATTATTCACACACAGCAAATCCTCACTGATTTGTCCATGCTAATCTACTTGTCACCTGTGTGTAACAATCTGAAAGGTTTGTTGCATGGCAGAAGTTTGCACACTGAGCTTCTTTAGCACAAGACTGTCTGGATAAGGGGGGGGGGGGGGGGGGGGGGGTGGGGGGGAGATGTAGCCCTGTAGAAATACAGGTTGGGAAACTGTACTTGCCAGGAAGCACTTTATGGCAAAATAACATGGAATCCTTGCCCTGCCTTGCGAATCATAGGTGTTGTTTACATGTTATGTTTATGGGTGGTCATGCTTAATAGAAAAAAGCTGCTCAAAGTATCCTCTAAGCTTCAGTTGGCAAGCTACAGGTACCTGTAATACGATATTTTGGGGAGGGGCGGGCATCTACACAACAAAAAGATAGATCTTTCAGCCGTATTCCAGATGGTCTCCTTTAGTAACTCATGGCAGCAGCAGATGAAAATCACACTCCTCCCCACCCAAAAGGCTTTCTCCCTCAGTGGACAGAACCTCACTAGGCTATGGGCTTATCACTACTACACTGGTGCCTCTCCAGGTTGATAGCAAAGGACAACCATCTCCTCTTTAAGGCTCCATTCACACCTAAGCGTGTTGTCGCTCAGTGCGACAAAACCCTCAACCCGAGGAACCCCATTCAGTTATATGTCCCCTTTTCACACCTGGGCGTTTTATCGCAAGTAAAAGTACGCCTGTCATACATGAGCTAGTTTTGGGCAGATTTCAGAGTTTTTCCCCATTGACTCATTAGAAAACGCATCAAAATGCGCATTACAATTATTATTGCATGTTTTAACGCACATCAATATGCCACAATCTGCGGACAAAAACACGAGACTTACCATATACACGTCTTACATGCGCAGAAAACGCGCAAAACTACTCACAAAAAATGGTGCGTAGGACGTGCCTAATAGGTGTAGTTTAGGTGTGAATGGAGTCTGAGGGCTTAAGAAATGGAGGGAAGGAACTGAGATCTTAACCAACTCGGCATATTTAGGCTCTCTCAAGCCTTTGTAAACCCATTCCACGGGTAATTGCTCACACTACCTTTCGACAAGTTATCTTTTATGTTGCGGAAGGAGGATGGCTCTTTCTCTTCTCACTTCAGGATGGCCAAGCAGTGATAAGAGAAAGAGCCGCTGGCTGTCAGATCTGGGCCGAGTGGCTCTCTCTCTCTCTCCTCACCGCTAGGCCGCTCTGAATGACAGCTCCCTCCTCCTCATCATCGAATCCCCACTGCCTCTGCTCATATAGGCGGGGGAGAGCAGCGGGGACCCGAGGAAAGGCTGGAGTCTGTTCTGCCCCTCTTCTCCCTGTTGAACCACGGCTGTGTTGGCCACCTTGCATCCCTGTTGCCATGGCGCCCTGTGCCAGCCCTGACTGCTCCCCCTCTCAGCTGCACCTGAGGCGAGTGCCTTACTCGCCCCATGGTAGCTACAGCCCTGACTGATTTCCTGAACAGGCTCTGAAATATACAGCAATTGCCACCAAATACATTTCTAGTAACTGCAGATGTAGGATCTCTCAATAGCATCATCCCCTGCAAGGATAGGATTGCTGCTTGTCGCAAATTCTTATAGTTACCACCAAACTACAAATAAAGTGTAGTGGGTGCTACACAGCTCACTGAATTCTTTCCAATACACAACTATTTAAATAGTAATAACATTTGTCTTCAGTGTATGTGTAATGCTATAGGAAATAAAATGGCACCACAATATGGTAACTTATGTATGGCAGACTGAGAAGTCCAATACAATTCACCCTGCAACCAAACTAAAAATGTACTGTTTAAGCACACATATGAATTTCTTAGACACCACAGTATCCATCAGGGATGAGAAACTGCACACATCAATATACAGGTGAAACTCGGAAAATTTGAATATTGTGCAAAAGTTCATTTATTTCACTAATGCAACTTAGCCGTCTACCAGGAGATTTTGGAGCACTTCATGCTTTCTTCCACAGACGAGCTCTATGGGGATGCTGACTTCATTTTCCAGCAAGACTTGGCACCTGCTCACACTGCCAAAAATTTTCTGAAATTGTGGATCTGGGTTTTCATGAGCTGTAAGCCATAATCATCACAATTATGACAAATCACGGCTTGAACTATCTTGCTTTGCATGTAATGAGTCTATCTCATATATTAGTTTCACCTTTTAAGTTGCATTAGTGAAATAAATTACATTACACAATGTGTTGCACACAAGAGAAACCTTGCAACATGCGCAGCCAGGGATGTTGCATTGGTGAGACCGGACAAAAATTACAAAAACAAATGAATCTGCACAGAGACACCATAAAAGAACATGCGGAAGATGATTACTGCACACGCATTTTCTGCAGAAGACGTGTTTCCAAACCTCTGTTATTAACCTTAGTGGTGAGACAAGTTGTTTTACATGCTGGTTGTGAGTGTGCCATGATACCTTTCTACTGTTTTACTGTCATTTTGTTGCAGCTTTGTGTATAAGTACACTTTAGCCAAAAGCTTATCCTGAAAATGTAATGCTTGGTGCAAATGAAAGTATTATGGCCAGTACGTGACTGTGTTGATTCAGATAGCAAGCTTAAATTATCAGTAGTTGCAACCACAGGAGCACTCTCTCTTTAGGCTGTTTCCCTGCACAGAGAACCACAACCAGGACCCGTCATGACTTTTCTCTTTACCTTTTCTGTGGATAAAAGGAAAAAAGTAGTTGCAAAGGTTTTCCAACAAATTTGACATTTTCTGCATTTAACTGTATTTGTAAAATGATGAATGTCCTCTACCTGTCCATATACAGTACTTAAAGTCCCCATCAATGCATCTCTGGGTCCTGTTGGCCTGCAGCTTAATTTTGGGTTTGAGGGACTTCAATGGCCAAACGCTATCTCCTTGCATATTTTTCGTGTTCCTTCAGTGAAATCAGAGATAATGGCTGTTATAACAGTCATTTCCATGAACATTAAAACAGGGTACATTAAAAATGTTTTAAAATAAATAAAAAAGTAAGGAATTAAAAAAAGATATTTAGAAATCGATTTTGCTTCAAACAGAATTTTCCGTGTTGATACCTTTATTACAGTTAGAAAGTAGACCTTACTGACTGAAGTTTGTTTACCTATGATAATTTAAATTAAAATGCTGTACCTGTTGCATGTCTATAGCTTTGTACCCCAGTTTCATCATTTATAATAATAAGCATTGTTTTTAGTCTAATTAGAGTATGTATAAGTTACAGCTTACCAATGAATATTTTCTATTTACGTGTACTATTTTCTTTCAGCCACAAAGCCTGCCTTGAACAGCATGATGCGTGATCCATCCTTAATTCCAGATTCTGTCCTCGCCAACCAGGTGCAACAGGTAAAATCCAGTCACTGTGCCAAGGGGAGAAGCTCCTTCAATCTCATTTAATTACTATTGCTGTAAAAAAACTTTTAGATTACAAAGCATCCTAAATGTCACTAAATAACTTGCCTCAGGAACATTTCCTATTTTTAATTGCTGCATTTTGTGTCAGCGGTAACAGTGTGTGATCCTGTTTTTCATGTCACACAGAGGGTTCTTTCCCTTTGGGATATTTAATGTTCAGTGCTGCTTAACTGTGCTCTCTGATGCTGCAGGTTAAGATTATACAGCATATCTCATGTAGTTAGTTCCGATTTGTTGTCCTTATTCATATAGAACATGCATATTGTATATATCCTCCCTTTTTGTCAGATAGTACATAGAATAATGTAACCTCTGTTGTAAATTTAAATTTTGATTAAGGACCATGTATGCTTTGGCATACATGAGAGAGTGTGCAGGGTCTAAGCTGTCTGTCACATCAGAGCTGCACTTAGTGTAGATTAAAGCATATCTAGTCGCCCAAATTTTTCCTTAGATGCGGTGCCTACTAGGGCTGCATCTAACGATTATTTTCTTCATCGATTAGTTGGTTGATTTATTTTTTTGATTATTCGGATTAAAAAAATGTTTTTCTTATTTAATATTATTAGTTAATAAATATTAGGTATTTCATATCTCACCAGACGCTTTTGTCTGGTGGAATCCGATTGGCTGCACCCTTGAATCTGCGCCCTGATGCGGATTCATACGTACGAGCCGATTGGCTAGAGATACAATTTTTTATCTCGCAATGCTCAGCTCTCTCCTAGCTGATCAAGGGAGAGCATATTGCTAGACACACTGCATGCGAAGCTCCACGCACCACCACTTCTCTCTGCTGTGTGCGGCTCCGTGTGCAGTGTATCACGGGCTTTACATGCACAGTATACACAATACACACAGTACATACATACAACACATAATACACAGTACACAAACAACACATAATACATTCACATTACAATACATAACACACACGGTACACACATACAACACATGATACACATACCGTAGACGAATACCACACATAATACACACACAGTACACACATAGTACACACATAGTACACACACAGTACACATACAACACATAATACCCTTACCATAATACCTCCTTACCATCTTGTCTTAAATTGTATTGTAATTGTAATGTCTTCCTTATATTGTAAAGCGCTGCACAAACTGTTGGCGCTATATAAATCCTGTATAATAATAATAATAATAATAATACATACACAGTACACATAATACTTAATAAAAAAAAAAAGTTTTGGGTCCATTCATCAGGCAAACAATGTATTTTTACAAATCAGTGTATTTTTCACATTGTTTTCCTGATGGAGGGACCCGATGCAGCCCCAAAACATAATTTACTTGCTATAATGTGAACATGCATCAATAAAAAGATGTATTGTTATCACAATTGGAGTGCCGGTGACTTCTCTTTTTCTTCAGTACTGCCTCCTGTAAGACCACCATTGTCACTGTGGGGCCTGAATTTAGTATTGGTAGTTTTTGCAAAATCCCTCCATCGAGAGCTTCAATGGATCCTGCTGGTGACATTCTCTCAGAAAGTAGGATTTCTGGTGGCCATCACTTCAGCACGCAGAGTATCTGAACTGGCCACGTTATCCTGCAAACCGCCATATCTGGAGCTTTGTCAGCATGAAGCCACCCTGCATCCAAGACTGTATGTTGCAAAAAGTGGTGTCAGCCTCACACCTAAATGAGGACATTGTGCTTCCATCATTGTGTCCTAAACAAGTCCACCCTAAGGAAGTGGCCCTACACTGCTTGGATGTAGTCAGGGTGATTAGAGTTTATTTGAATGCCACAGCTAGGTTTAGTCAGGCAGATTCCCTGTTAACTGTGAAAGATCCAAGCACGGCCTTTCAGCATTGACCTCTATGATGTTAAGCTGGATCTGCTGAACCATTGTACAAATGTAAGCAATCAAGTACCAAGGACCACCATTTCCAGTAACAGAGCACTCAACAAGGGCGTAAGTGCATCCTCTGATTTTTGCCATCAGGCATCAAATTCTTGGCTTTGTAAGGTAGCCACTTGTTCGTCTGTTCATTCATTCACCAAATTTTACAAGGTGGATTTGGCAGCTTAAGCCAATACCAATTTTGGTTGTAAAGTTTTTCAGGCAGCAGTTTGTCTGGCCTATATCATTTTTCTGTAAGACAGTTACAGCTGTGGCACTGCTTTGGTCTGTGATTATCTAAAGCAGAGCTGTGTCCTCCAAGCAAAAGAGAACATAGAGTTTTTTTGCACTAACCATAAAATCCTTTTCTCTGCAATGATTGAAGGACCTGGCATCTGGCTTGCTAAGGCCACATGTGTTGTGTTGTTTGTAAGCCATCAGGGGCAGGGCCCTCCTTACCATCTTGTCTTGAATTGTATTGTAAATGTAATATCCTTATATTGTAAAGCGCTGTGCAAACTGTTGGCGCTATATAAATACTATGTAATAATAATAATAATAATACTGCTTATGCCATGTAACGGAGTTTTCACAACAGTGGAGGGGGTTTTGGCAACCTGCAAGGGCTGCCACCTGCGCTGTCTTTTGTTTATAAGTGAACCTAGAGAACTCCTGCAAGTAGCGATATACCCAGTCCATGATTATCTAAAGCAGAGCTGGGTCCTCCAATAAATGCAGAGAAAAAGGATTTACAGTGAGTGCAAAAAATCCTAATTTTGCAGCTAATTTTGTTTGGGGGATGGGGGAAGTTGTTTGGAAAGCCAAGCATCCATTTTTCATGGAAAGTCCACTTTAATATATCCTTCTCAAGCACTTTAAATCAAGTCTTCATTAACCTATGTAGTTGTGGGCATTGTGAAGAATCTTTAAAATTTAAAGCAGAAGCATTGAAATCACTCAGCTCTTTTGTCATCTATAGAGAGCAAAATCTTGGCAGCCTGACATCACCATTAAGCAAACACACAGCAGATGCTTCTAAGATGCTAGAAACTGACTGAAACCGAACTTTAGAGTCTCTGTTGTGATTTGAGGATAAATTACTTCACAGTACATCAGCTAGAGAGGTCAGGGGTTGCTTGTTTTAAAGTTATTGTATTACTTTTTAAGAATATATGAATACTTTTATGTCCATAGTCTGGACACAGGTGCACTTTAAGTATATGTTTTTGTTAATAATTCTATTATTATGTCTCTTTCAGTGCATTATCAATGACTCTTGTAATGGACCTTTAGTTGACTGCATCAAACAGTATCCTTTAAGATTTAGCCATCCACCCCCAATCCTGAATTAACAAAATGTATATGTAGAAGTGTCAAGGTATTATTCTGCACTTGGTAGGGCTCTTTGGATAACCTCTATGCAAGCCCATTCCAATGGAGAGTGTTGTGATATACATTGTGTAAATGGTAAAGAAAGCCCCCAACTTGCCTTTCATACCCACTGTGAGAATATATACAAATAAAGCTGACTTTGAGAACGTTGACCTATCCCTGCTCCTGACATGAAGACATGCAAGGCAACCTCCATACTTCCACCGTACAGGTTATCATTGTCTATGTACAGTATAAGCTGCCTCCCAACAATGCTATGTAAACATGCATTTGTACACCATCTTGGTCTCGTATGCCTAGTACTGTGTGCATTCAACGTTGTAGTTATGACTTGTATTTGGTTACGGCATAAAAAATTATTCAAATACATTATATTATTTGCTTTTCTAGATTATCCAAGGATTGAGAACACAATCATGATTATTAAAATAGCTGAATTCAGTGTAAAATGGATGTAATGTTAACCAATCTAAAAAGAACCATTTCGGGGGTCGTCTGCATATGTTTTCATTAACACGCAGCAGCTCCTACAAACTGCTGTCACTCAATGGCTGAGGAGGATTGTCGGGAACTCTTCTCGGCACAGAGCCTAGCCCTGCCCAGCTTATAGTGCATTTTTGATTACAGGAGTATATTGCAAAGTGTATTCCTGTATCATAAGGAAACTAAAAATGCAACAAAAAGGTGTACACCATAGTCCTCCTTTAACGTTTAATGTGGTTTCATTCTAGCAAAGAATACTGCTCAGCGGCTTATACCAAACTAACATTTTAACTTGGTTGGGATGCACGGATTTCCACCACTACAGTCAGCGGACAAGTGTTTAGAGTATTAGTTTGAGGTTTTAATGCACTTCTGTCATACGCCAAATATAGTACACCTTTTGTGACCCTGCCTATCTCTAAACACAGCCAACAAGCTGCTCTCATTATATCTGCAGCTATTGGCAGCCAGGAATGAGTTATAATGGACTGTAATGGCTTTGTGGTTCGAAAAAAAAAGTCATGGCTGGTGAGGAAATAATTGATTAGCATTTGATAGAAACTATCAGGGAAATGCTTGATTGCTCTGTGGAGATATTGAGAAATATCATCCTTGCAATATGAAGTGGCATTACTGTGCTAGCTTTGACTTTGTGCATTCTCACAAGATTGATTTAAAGGAACTACATGTGACAGGCCTTTATAAAATGTATATGTTTTTATATTCCCTATTACTGGTTGTAAGATGTATTAAAGAAAGACATGCAGGTGTTTTCTTGATGCAGTGAGATGGATATGCAGACAAATGGAGGTATCTGGAAACAAAGTAAAACATTTATATATTTATGCCTGGCAGTCTGAGAAGAGAGAATTGCTTTGTAATGTGTTCATTCAAGGAAACACCTGTAGTATAGTAGAATCTATGACCAATATTATAAAGAGGCAAAAGAGTTATGTACCATGGGATTTCTTTTTGCCTCATTTACTTCCCTTGAGAAAATCTACAATAGAAACAGACTTCACCCTTAATTTGTGGAGTTGGTTATGGTGCCACTTGTGTGATCGCCAGCATTTTTGTCTTATGCAGCCATGGCCGTATGTAATTTTTGGACAAGAGAAACTACTAATATATGAATCCACTTGTATTGACTTGTACAAGGTGAAAGAGTGAAAAATAGTTTTGTATTACTACATGGTTTTATGTGTTAGCTATTTTTTTCAAGCTTTTTGGAGGCAATAAAGCATTTATCATGTCGTCATATATTTTTTTTAAATTCCATGTTTTTTTGTTGTAATTTTTAAGCATTAAACTCACAAGTATCCGGCCTTTCCATTTGAGTGCATCTCTGTTGAACAGTCACTAGGCTTATTTTTAAGAAACGGATGCTCTCAATGTTGGAAGCAGTACTGTCTGACTCAGTGCTCTAAAATGCATGCACCAAAATGAGGGAATATTTTTGTCTACTCATACTATAACCATAGAAGTTCTTCTGATTCAATATTATGAATTCATCTCTTCTTTGGTATTCTCTTTTCCTTTTTCCCTTTCAGAACCCTTTCTATCACCCTTTTCATACCTTGAAGCTATAAGAAGCCATTATATGCTGGCTTCTTATATAAAGGTGTATCCAGAGCTGGGTAGTATGTCAGGGAGTGGTTCCACCTGCATTAAACCAAGGCAGTTGTCTCTACGGATGACATTCCCTCACATTGTGCTCAGGAGAACTAAGTGCATATACGATCAAATGGCCGCAGGTTTGTCTGTGTACATGCATGTTATTGCTTCTTCACATGCACTTACTGCAACAATTCAGGGATTAAAGGATTATTCAGTAAGGCATTTCAAGGGGCAATGGTTATATGTAAAACACAATAACCTATTACAACCAGTAACGTTATGTAAGATGAACTTATAATAACTGTAGTAGGTTCCTTTACATTATTGTATTAAATAATCCTGTAGCTCTATTTAACAGAAAAGAAAAAACACAGATACTCTCTTGGGATGAATGTGCATGCCAACAATGCATCCTAGTGGCCAGTATATAGTTTGGCTTCTTTGAGCTCTGTGATCAGCAGTGAAATGGCTCATGTCTTCAACCAAGAATCAGGAGGTGTGTTCCTCATACAGCCTTTGTTGGCTCAGAGTACCAGAGCCACACGCGCCCTGTGACTTATGACCATGTGGAAGTGTTACATCAGGGCGAAAGTTTTCAGAAATTACATGTTAATTCCAGGGCACATAAAATAGTTAAAAATCAATTGGAAGTTTAAGGTTTTAAAAGCATAATGTCTTTTGAAGGATTGTGTATTGATTTTAAATATAACTCTCTAATTATATATGCACAGAGTGAAGCACAGAGACAAGCTCTTTGCAAATGGCAGGGGGCTGTTTCACAGGAAGGTTTCTGAGGATTACGGGAAGCCAGGCCTCAGTTTTTCGCTGGGCGGAAAATGGCCTGTGAGATTATTTACAAGTTTTGCCTGCTGGTCAGCGAGATCCATCAATAACAGGTAGTAACATTATAGACCATCACTAAGTGTTTCGGCCACTATCGCATTAAGAAATCGCTTTGAAGCTCTCATTTTATGCCTTGTCTGTTTTCGTCCTCTGCTTACCTTCTTCCTCCCACTCTCATTCCTTTACTTTCTGAGAACCTATCTGTCTATTTTTAATTTTCTGGCCTGCCCAGAATTTTAGCTAGGCAGTCTCTGTAATAATTTTGTTTCGGTGGAGAATAAAGTTGGATAAATAAACATAATAATAATAGCACCGCTGACACTTTGGCTGTAGAGGCCTGTAACTAATTGTATTGAGGCCCTTTTATAATCTCTGAACAAGTGATCCTTCCATGTCAACAGAAGCGAAAATGTGCTTTGCCCATGAAGGGTAAAACAACAGGTACACTTTAATATACTCTAGTATACTTCTGTTTGGTCACTGGAAATGGAGAGAGGTAGTCCTCTCTCTTCACATCCCTGTGATCTCATAGGATACCTAAGTGGCCAGTCACAAAGCACCAATGCTACCAGAGGTTCAAACAGTACAATTGACCCAGTACAATTATTATTTCCTTTTTTTTATTATTCTACTGGATGTTTAGGCATCTTGCTATGCATTTCATCTCTTGCAATTTGGGTTTGTACTTTAACCTTTCTGAGAGCTACATCTGTTAGGCATAATACATACATGTTTCTGCACCGGTTATTTGTTTTGATGGATATATGTGTAAATGTGTTCATTATATTTTTATATAACGATGTTTGCATTTCAATATTTGGTTGAACTCGATGGACTTGTGTCTTTTTTTTTGTTTGTTTTTTAGAGTGACATTAAAGTCAAAAAAACTTCCCCTCCCCCCAATGTTAAGTAAAACACTTACCTTAAATTATGTATCTTAATCTGATCTTCCTCTTCTTTCCTGTCCTTTTCAGTCTTCTTTCCAGCGCTGTGGCGGGTCTCCGATCCATCGCTGACCCCTCTGTCCTTGCTGGCACTTCCTGTCCCACGGTGTCTGCATGCGGGTGCACGTGTCCATTGACTTACCTTGCGTCTCTCCTTGTCTCCCAGCCGAAAATCCTAACTGCGCATGCGCCCGCCCCAAGATACTTTGCAGCCACCCGAGCAGTTCGGATTTTCGGACGAGAGCGCGCGGCGAAGACAGCGGCAAGTTTAAACCGCTTTTAAAGCGTTTTTTTTTCTTCAACTTTTTGCATGTATCTACTGCTTGCCAGCAGTAGATATATGCAAAAAAACGGAGGGTTTAGAAACCCTTTAACCTATGTAACTATACGGAACGTTGCACAAAAGCCCACCATTCAAATAAAATATACAAAGAAATGTAGAGTTTTATATTATAGTTTGTATCCATTACATGTACAGAAAAGCTAAGTAGTAATACATGAGTGTCTATAAGTATCTACAATACGGTGTGAATCCAGTTTTGCAACTTTGTAGAGTCTCACCAGCACCAGGGTTCTGTAGGGTCTCACCAGGGCTATGTGGGGTCTCACCAGCCTGGTGAGACCCCTCAGAGCCCTGGTGAACCCCACAGAGCCCTGGTGAGACCATACAAAGCCCTGGTTTAGCCATGGCTCTGTGAGGGCTCACCAGGGCTCTGTGGGGACTGGTTAGACACCACAGAGCCCTGGTGGGATCCCACAGAGCCCTGGTGAGATCCCAAAGAGCCCTGGTGAGATTCCAAAGAGCCCTGGTTAAACCAGGGCTCTATGGGGTCTCACCAGGGCTTTGTAGGGTCCCAACAGGGCTCTGTAGGGTTTAACTAGGGCTGGTAAGACCCTACAGAGCCCTGGTTAGACCCCACAGAGGCCTGGTTAAACCAGGGATCAGTAGGGTCTCACCAGCACCAGGGTTCTGTAGGGTCTCACCAGGGCTATGTGGGGTCTCAACGGCCTGGTTAGACCCCTCAGAGTCCCGGTGAGACCCCACAAAGCCCTGGTTAAACCAGGGCTCTGTAGGGTCTCACCAGCACCAGGGTTCTGTAGAGTCTCACCAGGGATATGTGGGGTCTCACCAGCCTGGTTAGACCCCACAGAGCCCTGGTGAGATCCCAAAGAGCCTTGGTGAGATCCCAAAGAGCCCTGGTTAAACCAGGGCTCTATAGGGTCTCACCAGGGCTTTGTAGGGTCCCAACAGGGCTTTGTGGGGTTTAACTAGGGCTGGTGAGACCCTACAGAGCCCCGGTAGACCCCACAGAGGCCTGGTTAAACCAGGGCTCTGTAGGGTCTCACCAGCACCAGGGTTCTGTAGGGTCTCACCAGCACCAGGGTTCTGTAGGGTCTCACCAGGGCTCTGTGGGGTCTCACCAGCCTGGTGAGACCCCTCAGAGCCCTGGTGAACCCCACAGAGCCCTGGTTAAACTAGGGCTCTGTGGGGTCTCACCAGGGCTCTCACCAGTCCTGGTAAACCCCACAGAGCCCTGGTGAGACCATACAAAGCCCTGGTTTAGCCATGGCTCAGTGAGGGCACTGTGGGGACTGGTTAGACACCACAGAGCCTGGTAAAACCCCACAGAGCCCTGGTTAAACCAGGGTTCTGTAGGGTTTCACCAGGGCTCTGTAAGGTCTAACCAGCTTGGTTAGACCACACAAAGCCCTGGTGGGATCCCACAGAGCCCTGGTGAGATCCCAAAGAGCCCTGGTTAAACCAGGGCTCTATGGGGTCTCACCAGGGCTTTGTAGGGTCCCAACAGGGCTCTGTAGGGTTTAACTAGGGCTGGTAAGACCCTACAGAGCCCTGGTTAGACCCCACAGAGGCCTGGTTAAACCAGGACTCAGAAGGGTCTCACCAGCACCAGGGTTCTGTAGGGTCTCACCAGGGCTACGTGGGGTCTCACCAGCCTGGTTAGACCCCTCAGAGCCCTGGTGAGACCCCGCAGAGGCCTGGCTAAACCAGGGCTCTGTGGGGGCCTCACCAGGGTAGCAGGCCTGTGGGGGTCTCACCAAGGCACTGTGGGGGTCTAACCAGCCTCGTTAGACCACACAGAGCCCTAGTGAGACCCCACAGGGCCCTGATTAAACCAGCGCTCTCCACAGCGCTCTCCTCATGGCTCTCCAGGCCGCCACTCACCAGTACTGTGCTGGCCGTGTCTCGGGGGCGGGAGCTGGCAGGAGCGTGCCGACATAGTCTCCATCTGCTTCTGAAGATAAACTAACTGTCCTCTGCAAAAGCTTGCCCTACCCTCACCCCAGGGTCGAGCCCCTATTCAGTCTTGGACACCAGGCCAGCTGCTTGCTTTTACTGTTGATCTCTGCAGAACCCCTCCACCCTCCCCCCCCACGTCGGCCATATAAACTAAGCTGCTGTGCTTTCCCCTTCAGCCCCAGGCCAGACACCAAGCCTCAATTGCTGCTATCCCCCCAACCTCATCTCACTCAGCAGCTGCTGCTGTTCCCTTCCCCCCCAGTTCCAGATCATTGCTGGCTTACCTTACCATTTCAGTGACTTGACTACACACAGGCTCTGCTGCTCAGCCTCCAGCTGTGAGAGCTCCGCGGCTGCCCCTGAGGAAAAAAACCCTTCCTGCATGTGGGCAGGAAGGTACCAAAACATCACATTGGATGGGGGGTTTGGGACGTACCAACTGTTCCGTACGAGTCGTACGGAACAGTTGGTACGTCCCAACCCCCCCATCTAATGTGATGTTTTGGTACCTTCCTGCCCACATGCAGGAAGGTTTTTTTTTCCTGTGCTGATTCTACGGTACGACCGCGGCGGGCAGCGGGCTCAAGGGGCAGCTGCTTTGGGCCCCACAACCATGACAGGGCCCGGGGCAAGTGCCCTCTTTGCCCTGCGTTAAAGACGGCCCTGCTTAAAGCCCTCCTAACCCTCCTGTATTAAATTTGCATCGTAACAGCTGGAAGGGGTTACGTTTGTCTTGTTTAGAGGGTTGGTATACATGGCAGCTGGCAGTTTCTGCAACATTGTTAGCATAACCACCCAAACTGACAACAGCAATGTTGTACATTGTTCTTAGAATTACATCTGTCATAAACGTAGACAATTAAAGCTAAGGTTATGATACAAAAGAAAAAAAATCAGTGGTGAACTACATTTCAAAAATATCAGTAGATCAAGCAATGTGGGCAGATAAAGTTCTATGAAAATTTCAACTCTTCCTGTAAAGTCAAGCTTGGACCCATACCCTCCCACCTTCTGAGCCTTCAAATTTGTAATATGATAGATGGCCAAACCGGCCAATAGGAAGGGCTGGACCTATAGTTATACATTTCATTATAGATTTAAATAAGTCATGATTTGAAAAGGGTGTGACATCATGTATAAGCAATTATAAGCCCTCAGGGGCAGGGCCCTCCTTACCATCTTGTCTTGAATTGTGATTGTAATGTCTTCCTTATATTGTGAAGCGCTGCACAAACTGTTGGCGCATATAAATCCTGTATAATAATAATTATATAACCACTCTCCAGATAAAGTGAGTATGGTAAGCTTGGACAGTAGTGTGCATGCTACAACATAAATGTTTATGTATGTAAATACAGTATAATGATGTTATTTCCTTGACCACCTGGTGTTTTAGTGCTATTGGCTTTGAGCATGAAGTGCTTCTAAGAGAAAAACTGATAGAGAAGAATCTTGCATTCTTAGGTAAGACATTTTAAAACCAAATTCCAACTTTTTTTTCCATTTATATTATTGTAAAGTATTTCAAAATAATCACATTTATAAAATGATCAGCTTTTTAAAATTGTATTATCTGTTATCCCATTTTATTCTTATGCTCTTTAAGAGTCTAGTGTGCTCAAATAAATAGGTTGAAATATACAGAATGTGTTTTTGTAATGAGGTAACATAAGCGACATCCTGTCGGCGGTTTAAAAAGACTACAAGAGCAGTTGGCTTAAAGCAGACCTTTTACCTAAAAATAAAAAATAAGCCTGTGGTACTGAACCTTTAAACACTTTTAGAAAAGCGTTACATCTTCATCTTAATTTCTGCATTTAGCAGCAAAGACACTTACTGCAATGACACTTCCACCTCTCTATAGGCCCTCTTCTAGCTGCCTTCTGAAAAAGTTTTGCCATCAGTACCTTCCAGACAGCTCTCAGAGCTAAAATGTGGATCCTTATCCTGGGGTGATAGCTTTGTGAATTGAGCATGCTGTCTGTATTTTTCATATATTCACCATATAATTTCCGATTCAGCTTCTCTCCTTTAACCCTTTTGCTGCCAGAGCCTTGTTTTCTTATTTTGCACACATGTTAAAATGCACATTTTAGACTAAAAAGTTACTTAGAATCCCAAAACATTTTCTGAAAGCAGAGACCCAGGAGAGGAAAATGGTGGTAGATTATGTCACACGATATTAGATTGCATTGTAAATAGATACCAAAAATGTCAAGCCTTAAAATTAAATGTGCCCATGAAACTGTAAACAATATATTACATCCACAATTGTTCATACGCAATGCTTTAAAAGCCTTCACAGGTTTTTAAAGCAATTTCAAATGTGGATTCAATCACTTACAATCAGTGGCGACTCTAGGAACAATATATAGGGGGGGCACATAAGATACCACAGTCAAAACGATAGCAACACATTATGCAGCTTTGTGGAATAATACCATCAGCTATAGAGGACTAGAAATCCCAGCAAAACAGAGCAATGCGGAATAATAGTATATACATTTGCCACATACTCTGTGCTGCTGCTCTACTCTGGGGTTCTGGCCTAATGTCTTGGGCAGAGCTCGTCAGGAGGGGTGGGGAGGGTCTTAGTAAGGGGAGATGTGTGGGTGGCAGAAGCACTGTAAGCAGGCATTACGTGGCTCCCCAGAAGGCTGCCGCAAGGTCCACAGCAAGTGCCGGACTTAAAGCTGGCCATACACCTTGCAATTATCTGCAGATTTTCTGTGGTCAGATGGAAAAGGTGCAACAGATTCCTCCATCTGTGCTAAACTGTGTGGATTGAGGAATCTCCACCTGGGCCAATCTGTTGCACTTTTTCCATATGACCACAGACAATCTGCAGATAATTGTAAGGTGTATGGGCACCTTAAGACACCTAAGTCAATTTGAAGAATGTGCTGGTATCGGTTTTTAGTATTGGGACAGAGGTCAGTTATAACGCAGAGTGCATTGGTCAATAATGTATCGCAGGGGGCGGAGGTCAGTAATGTAACCCAGAGTGCAGAGGTCAGTAATGTTCAAAAACCATACACACCCATTGCACTTCTGACCGGATAGAAAACCCTAATTATAGAGTGGGTGCTGAAATGACCGCGGATGCCTCCGCAAAATAAATCCAAAAAATTCAAAAAGGTGACAAGCACTCCAGCATGTAGAAAAGTCAATGTTTAATGACTTCACAGGTGTCACATCATCAGAGCGACGTTTTGGAACAGAAAAGTCCCTTCCTCAGGCAAAACAGATAAATATACTTGTGACGTCAATAAACAATGACTTTTCTACACGCTGGAGTGCTTGTGACCTTTTTTGAGGTCAGCAAAGTAACGCAGAGTGCGGAGCTCAGTAATGCAACGCAGAGTGCGGAGCTCAGTAATGCAACGCAGAGTGCGGAGCTCAGTAATGCAACGCAGAGTGCGGAGCTCAGTAATGCAACGTAGAGTGCGGAGGTCAGTAATGCAACGTAGAGTGCGGAGAACAGTAATGTAACACAAAGTGCGGATGACAGCAATCTAACGCAAAGTGCGGATGACAGCAATGTAACACAAAGTGCGGATGACAGCAGTGTAACGCAGAGTGCGGAGGACAACGGTGTAAGATAGAAAGGGACTTACAGTTTTGATGTACTAGATCATGTGCTCTGTCATGCCCTCTTTTTCCTCTCCGGGTAGTGGGTGGGGGGGGCGATGTTTCTCCCAAGCAGCCTTGATGCGTCTTCTCTGTCCTTACTCTGCTAAAATACATGAGCAGCCAATGGCAGTGCTGCACTCTCCCTCTTAGCCAATAGCAGCTGGGGTGGGCGGAGGAAGATACAAGTGGTTGCCAACTGCTGAGGAGCCCATACAGCAGGGGTCTCAAACTCAATTTAGTCGGGGTCACTGGACAAATTTTTTAGTCCTGTGTTAGTCCCGCTACTATATACGGTACCAGTTTTAATGTCTGTATATGTTACAAGCAGCAACTGTCACCCATTCAAATTAATGATCGGGTGACAGCCGCTGCATGTACACGCCTGCACACCGCATGTAATCATATGTGAAACTCAGAACTGACAGTGCTCCGGCCGGAGCTAACAGGAGCAGCTCTGCGGTCTGCATCCGTCGGATGCAGACCGTGTAGCTGCTCCCGCAAGTCGGGCACGCGGTCCGTGACCGTGTGCCCGACTTGTCAGCAGGCAAGGGGCCGCTGCCGTACAGTGAAGCTGGCCGTTTTAAAGTCCACAGCTATGACATTACTACTTGTGTGACCCTGTCTCTGTTACCTCACTTGATAAAAAAAGCCCTTCAGGCTGTTATACACAGGCCTTTTCTTAACTTTGCTTTGGATTTTCTTCTGCACCCCACTAAACTGTAGTTTGCAGGCTAATCTTCTATGTGGCCTTTCCTCTTCAGCTCTGGATCTTAGCAGTATTCAGGCCTTTGTGTACTTTTTTGTCAGCTGTTTTTTTTTCTAGTCTTGCACTATGACACAGTCCCTATTGTGACCCACTGTTTCCATACAGCCACAAGACCTTTGATACCCACTCTGGATTTTTTTATTGGTCTGTGCCCAGTTAATGCACAGATTTAAGGGTTCAAAATGAATTTTACTACATTCCCCAACTGAACCTGCTATTGAGCCCTTGCCCTTTAGTATGCCTGAGATTCCTATAACTGTCACTGCTTCAGATTTAGAGCTTCCACAACCTTCTACTCAAGAGCCTGTGTTTAAAAAAAAAATAGCTTCCCTTTTGCCAAAAGTTATAGATTTTTTGATTGATGTGTTTTACCAAGCAATACGTTGATCAACCTTTTGCCCCAGGCATTGGGCCTTATAGAGCTTTAAAGACTTTTCCATTATACTTTGTTTGTAAATCCATCCTTTATGAGGATTAAAATCTACCTCTAGAATCATGGGAATGTTTTCCCTGTACCAAAAAATGTTTCTACCCACGTGGGTGATCTAGTTGTCCACCTTATCAAATATACCAACAAACAGGTTGATTATATTTTAACCTTAAGGATTTTTTATTTTCATCTTTTGAATAATGTCTCTGTTTTAGGTTTTTGGTGTTACTGTTTGTCTGATTTTGGTGTGACTCAAATTTGTGCTTGTATGTTAGAGTGGATTTACTATTTAAAAATGAAAGACTGTATATTCTCCATAGTAGACCTACTTACCCTGGAGGTTTCTACAAAGAGTCCCTAATTACTTACTTATCAGCTGTGACCGTCTTCTAAAAGCCACTAAACTTACTCATTGCCTGATGTCCATGCAAGGAGCACTCAGACTCTATTCCTGAAAAAGCTGATGATACCCATTTGGCTCCCTTATTGATCAGTTTATCTCAGATTCTTCTTGTGCTCAAAAAATTGCATGCACCTCACTGCAGAAAGTCTGTAGATGAGGTGGTTTGACCTCATACAAGTCTCTGCTTCTACAGCAGCTCTTTGTAGATATACACATTCTCTTTCGTATTTAGGTAGATCAACTCCACCAATCCTTGGTCTCTTCTGCATAACTCCCTGAAAAAAGCCTCTTCACCATTTTCCATATGGGAATCTACCTGCTAGTTATTGGATCACTCCTTAGCTGCATCCTTAATGTTTGCATTTGTCTTTGCTGTGGAGTTGCTTCCTATTCTCAGGTGTGTGCTCCTTAAGATGATTGATCCCTTTCAAGCCATTTCCCCTTTGTAGGGATCTCCTATCTACAGGAATCAGTTTTCAATACTTAGGTATTTTGTATTTCTTACCTTGGCATAGTACCTTGGCATATCCCTAAGGCCTTCTGTTTTTTATTTTCTTTTGTGAAATGCCATACACAGTATATTGTTGCTGAAAATAGTTTCATACTCCCTTGCAGTTATCTGCATAAAGGTGCAAATATTTTACCTTCTCCCATACAATTTCCCTTTCAAGAGACTTTGTGGGATAACCTTTTATTCCAGAATTGCTAATGCTTTTGTTGTCCTTTCTCAGATAAACTTTGTCTCATTAAATATTCTGAGCCCTTTTTGTGAGGTCATGTTCTTCTCTGAAGGAAACATCCATTACAATTTTTCTGTACCTTCCTGAAGGTCATTTAATAATCTGGTTCTTTCCATTGGTAGGATCCTATAATCCAACAGTTTTAGCATTTCATTCTTCACTTTGTGCTGCTATCAGATTGCTAACCATGGTATCACTCCTCATCTAAATATCCTGATTTGTTAAAATATGTTTATTGTGTTTACTCAATCAGACTAGATTTCTTATGCCCGTCACATTCTCAACCTCATTGGAGTGTATGGAGCAGAGATGTCAAACTCAAATACACAGTGGGCCAAAATTAAAAAAAATGGTCCAAATCGAGGGCCGGGCTGGTTCACACAGTATAATACTGTGGTCTATACAGTATATCACACGGTATAATAACAAAGCATGTACATTTAATTATTAAAAAGCATGATACATAATTACAATAAAACATTTTTTTTCTTT